TCTCCTTGAAGACTAACGTGCTCCTAACCCAAACCATGGTATTTTCAATCGCCTCATATGCGTATGAGAGCTGGACAATGAATAAGGAAGACTGAAGAAGTGTTGACGCTTTTGAGTTGTGGTGTTGGCGAAGACTTCTGAGAGCAACATGGACTGCCAAAAGAACTAACAAATCTATTCTGGCAGAAGTGTAGCTGGACTGCTGCTTGGAATCAAGAATGGCCAGACTTTGTCTCACCTACTTTTGTCAGGTTGTCAAAAGGGACCATTCCCTGGAGAAGGATATCATGCTTGGTAAAGTGGGGGGTCAATGAGAAAGGGGAAGGCACTCAACAAGATGGATTGACACAGTGGCTGCGACGATAGGCTCAGGTATAGCAGGGATTGTGAGGCTGGCACAGGACCAGGCAGTGTTTCATTCAGTTGTACATAAAGTTGCTATGAGTCAGAGACTACTCAATGGCACCTAACAATATACCAGTATTTTGAAACCAGTCTAGTTTAAAGATAGAGAATAATTGTAGTAGAGATGACAGATGTTTAAAATTAATGGGAAAATAGGTAAGAAGTAGAGTTTTGAGTAGTACAACTCAAATAGTCAGCTTTTATTTGACTAAAAACACAACCAGATATACTTGAAAGAAGTGATTTTTTTTTTTTTCTTTCTTTTTTCTTTTGTTCATCATCAGGCTGGACAAGGCAATAAGGTAGGGCTGGAAACTCTATTAAAAGTCTAAAGGAAATTGCCTTGTGATTCAGCTATTTGATTATAAAATGGAGCTGGTGGCCTGCCATAATGTGTTTCAATATTTGGAAACAGTGATGTGAGGAGCTTGGATGATTTGAAGAATGATTGGGCAAAAGTAATTCTAAGCTATGGTGAAAAACCAAAACAAACAGAAAAATGAGTGAAACCAGGGCCTCCAGATGTCTTTTTGACCAGAATGCAATGCCACAATATGTAACCCAATGAGGTGAGTGGCAGGCTACCCCCAATAACCTTCATTCACATATACCTTAATTTAGCACTTTGTGTAAAGGATACATTTAACCTCTCATGTGTGAATGGTCTGAGTCCCTACCAAGTTGAGGATGTTGATGAGGACTGTAGTAGCTAATGTTTTTTGACCTCTAGGAGCTCTGGTAGCATAGTGCCTAAGGCACTTGACTGCTCACCAGAAGGCTGGCGGTTCAAACCCACCAGCCACTCCTCAGAAGGAAGGTTGGGCAATCCTACTTCCATAGTGATACTGCCTCGGAAACCCAAGGAGGGGTCGCTATGAGTCGGGGCCGACTCGATGGCAAACAACAACAACAACAACAACATGGTCATATGGACCATTCAGACTTAGTGAGTCCAAAAGATGATTCCAGATTAGAGCTAGAAAAAACCCCAAACCAGTGGCCAAAGAGTGTATTCCAAATCATGGTAATACCATGTGTGTCAGAGTAGGACCGTGCTCCATAGGGTTTTCAATGCTGTAATTTTTCAGAAGCAGATCACCAGGCCTTTCTTCTGAGTTGCCTCTAGGTGGATTTGAACTGCCAATCTTTTGGTTAGTAGCTGAATGCTTAACTATCTGTACCAGCCAAGGACTCCTTTAGAACTTGAAAGGAGCTTAGATATCAAAGGCCCTCCTTGTCTCCTCAACGCAGAAGGAAATCGAAACTCTGACAACTTGAGGTCTGCTCTAAGTGACTCAGTAGCCGAGTCGGGCTGGAACCCAGGGCTCCAGATTCCAGTTCAAAGCTACCTCCCCAGGAGTTCCCTGCCCTGCCACTTTGGCTCCACCACCATGGCCAGGCCAAGCCTGGCCAAGACTCTTCAGTCACCTTGCTTGAACCTTTCTTCTTGCATACTCCAAAACTTTATCCTTCTAGAACTTCCTATCAGAAAGTCTCAGGCTTCAGGTTCCTTCCAGGTAACAGAGTTGTGGAAGAGATGTTGATAAGTGCTAAATATCTTACACCCAGAGAACACAGAACATGGAATCAAAAGCCTCAGATTCATGTCTTGACTTTGTTAATTACTAGTTCAGCCTTAAAATCACATATATAAGATAAGAATAATGATAGCAAACTCCCAAGGTTTTTAAGATGTCAGAATGAAACAAGTAAAAGTTCTTTGTAATTTCTAAAAGGTTATTTAAGTCTTCAAAAGGCTATGAAAATGCTACACACTTATCAGGTGGCATTAGGGTTTGTTTGCACATCACTTGCCTTCAACAGTGAATGAGGGAGAATATCATGTGTGTATCTGACAGGCAAGTTGAAAAGACCTTTTGGAGGAGGTAGGTCTCTCAGTGCCCACCCTCTTACTCACCCCCTGCATTAGAGTATGTAGACACTCACCTACTTTGCTGGCATCTTGGTCTGGCCCTAATCATTGTTCCCTTGGAATGTCTAAAGCTAGTTAAAAGACATTAGCAGTTTGGAAAATGCCAGCACAGTCTCCTCTGGCAACAAAAGAAGGGAACTCTTAACTTGATTTCTTTTATTGTGTCTTTGATGGTTTCTGTACAGAGTAGACAATGAGCGTTGCTATTTTAGGTGCTGAAGATGAGGACATTTGACTCAAAAGCATCAGGTTGAGCGTGACCTAGTCCATTCCTTTGCTTTTAAGCAGAGTTGTGTTTCATGCAGCAGATAAATGGGACTGCAGGATTTCAAAGATGGTTCTGGTCATAATTGTGATAAGGGAAAGAAGACAAAAGTGACCACAGAGAAGCCACCCCCTTGGTGATGAAGAAGGAAGATGCAGACTGTGCAGCCGTGTGAGATGGTGGCTGAAAAGCTGGGTTGAAATAGTGGTGCACAGTGTGGATGCTGGAGTCGAGTAGTCTGAGTCTGAGTCCGAGCTCCACCAGGCCCCAGTCGGGTAACTTCGGCAAATAACAGTCTTTCTAAGGCTCAGCTCTGGCTTTTTTTTTTTTTAATGAAAAAACTAAGTAAACGAATAAAAAGAGTTATCTCCTTCATAAGAGTTGTTACCAAGAATAAATGGGAAAATATAATTCATGAACAATATAATGCATAATACTTTATATGGATGGTATCTATGTAATGATGAGTATAAATGGCTCTGTGACATTCATGTGCAATAAACATGTTTCTTTTTCTTTAAATAAAATTAAATCTAGCTCATGCCCCACTTATTAAAATTGGTCTTTCTGGGAGACTTCCATTCCTTTATTCATGGTACCATGAATTATTCATGGTACCATAGGATTTATTTAAGGACACCCCTCCCCTTGTCCCAATGATCTTTAGTCTTTAGAGTTGTTACCTTCATCACCTTTGTTCTTTCTGATCACAGTACTCCCCTGAGTTTTGGTCCCCACCATATACTGATGTTCTTCATGGTTCCTGAGATGCCTCTCATAAGGCCCATCTGCTATGACCTCATGCTCAGCATAGAGCTCTCATTGTGGCAACCAAAATCTGCATGCAGGTATCCATGCAGCCAAACCCAGACTGAGGTCCTCTTATCTCTGGGGTACTATGAGACGCCTGGAGCAGACTTGCAGGAGCCTCCCCCTCCCAAGCTTTGGGACTCCAACCCTATCTGACTTTGAGTTCTTTCTGTTTCTTACCTCAACCATTGAAGCCTCCCTCCATCTTTTCCTCCTCTAGGATTTAGCACTCCATCTTAGCTCATTTTGCGGAGTGTGAAACACCAACATTTGGGATAAGAGAAGCCCAGGCCAGTAAACAAAATTTTACAAAGACCCACGAAGTGTTCTCAAGATCCCAGGGCCCTGTCTCTGGAGATTTTGATTCAGTTAGTTTGGAGGTGGCCCAGAACAAGCTCTCTGGATTCTGACAGCCCAAGTGTGTCTACACTTTGATGAGCATTGGCCTAGAACTTGGGACAAAGGCCTCATTAGACTCCTGAGCATAGGAGCTCAGTCTTTAGAAATGCAATAGCTAGTCTCCCAACTTCCAAAAATGGACAGCATACTTCTTCTAGAGCTGCAACAATATACAAACAACCAGGTTCAGTTTTCGTGCCCTAATTTATTAAATTTGCCATGACTTGCCCCCTTAGCACTGTCTTTCAGAAGTCCTTGTAAACACAGAGGGCAGAGTGTGGCTAGTGTGGCCTGGAGGGTATTGGCATGACCTTGGCCTGATACCTGATTTGTAAGCCCTTGACAGGATGACTCTGGTGGCATAGTGCCTAAGGCATTTGGCTGCTAACCAGAAGGCTGGTTGTTCAAACCTACCAGCCACTCCTCAGAAGGAAGGTTGGACAATCTACTTCCGTAGAGATATTGCCTTGGAAACCCAAGGAGGGGTTGCTATTAGTAGGATCTGACTCGACGGCAGTGAGTTTGGTTTGGTTTGACAGGCTGACAGCATGCAGGCTCTGAGGGATGTGGAAGGATGTGGGGGCTGGGTGACGGCCTGTCCTCTTAGATGGGCTAGTCTTCCTCAGGGGCACAGTTGTGAATTCATCCTTCATTTGGTGATTTTTGTGAGTTAAAAAATTATGACTTTACATTTTCTGTTGCCAGCACCATGCCTTCCTGATTCTCCAGACTGCAGGCAGGCATCAGTACATTTCATACATCCTAGCATTCAAAAAATGTGGAAAGTTGTGGTTCAGTGGTAAGTCTTTGCCTTCCATGTGGGAGATGATCAGGTTTGATTCCTGACCAATGCACCTCCTGCCCAGCCACCACCTGTCTCAGTGGCAGTTTTGTGTCTTGTTATGATAGAGTAAGGAGCTCTGGTAGTGCAGTGCCTAAGGCATTGACTGTAACCAGAAGGCTGGCAGTTCAAACCCACCAGCCACTCCTCAGAAGGAAGGTTGGGCAATCTACTCCTGTAGTGATACCACCTCAGAAACCTAAAGAGGGGTCTGTATGAGTTGGGTCTGACTCGACGGAATATAACAACAACACAACAACATGATAGGGTGACTCTATGGCAACTAACAACAACAACAGTTTGTGAGAATGCAATGGCCGTCCACTAGGGTCCACCAGACCATGGCTCTTCTCAGTAACCCCACCAGCTCCAGGAATGGTGTGAATGAGCAACAGGAATTCCCTCTTTGTTTTCATTTCAAAACACTGTGCATCCACGGGGTAATTTGGGGCCCTCTGAAGATGAGTTTTGGATGGTGCAAGTGGAGCTTTGCTCTCAACATTTGAAGGAGGCTTCCTAATCTCTGACCTCAAAGACCAATCCTGCCTCCCAGAGGGTCAGGTTTGGAGATTAATGACCTGCATGCTGAGTGTGATAAACTGTGGTCAATAGGAATGGACAGTGGGAATGCCTCTGGTACTGTGGGTAGTGCTTTCTGGAATGTGAATCAGGATTCTAGAAATTGGAGACCTGGGCTCAACCTCAGTTTTTCCATGAACATCTCATCACCTTTGTGCTTCAGGGTTTTTCCTTCTATAAAGTGAAGGGGGTTGGGCTAAGCCAATTAATGCAAAAACAAACATTTACTGAGCTTTGGTTATGCACCAGGCTCTGTTCTAGAGGGAGGTGACATTAAATAAGACATGATACAAACCTTTGAGAAGAGAATTTCTGATGCCTTTTACTACTCTAACATTCCATGAGTTAGATGGTTAATGGTTAATGTTAGATGGCAAATGGTTAATGTGCTCAGATGCTAACTGAAAGGTTGGTGGATAGAATCTGCTCAGAGGCACCTCAGAAGAAAGGCCTGGCAATCTACTTCAGCAAATCAGCCGTTGAAAACCCGGTGGTGCACAGTTGTATTCTGATGCACACGTGGTTACTATGAGTTGGAACTGACTTGAAGGTGAGTGGTTAACTTGTGATAGCCCTTGAACAGGCACTGTGCACTTTCACATTATTATCTCAGCTAATCCCACATCCATCTTGAGAAATGTGTGGGTCAAGTGACTTGTCTAAGAACTCATGGCTGTTTACCAGTAAGATCTGGGTAGGTTAGATGTGAAGAGATCTCATTTACAACAAATCCCAGAGTCAGGAAGGAATCTGCATTTTATTCATGATGAGCTTAAAGCTTAGAGAAGTTAGATACTTTGCCCAAGGCCACCAAGCTAAAGAGTGTTAGAGGCAGGACTCAAAGTCAAGTCCTTCTGGCTCCAAAACCCAGTTGTCTTACTCTCCCTTACCTTCCTTTCCTCCCACCTTGTGACTTTTCAGACTTGTAGAGGAGCTCAGGTAGCATAGTGCCTAAAGCATTTGACTGCTTACCAGAAGGCTGGTGGTTCAAACCCACCAACCACTCCTCAGAAGGAAGATAGGACAATCTACTTCTGTAGCGATACCACCTTGGAAACCCAAGGAGGGGTTGCTAGCAGTCAGATCCAAGTCGAAGACAGTGAGTATTTTTTTGTTGTTGTTGTTAAGGTTCAAAGGGAGGTTGACAGTTTCCCTGGATATGAGTAAACCCTTAGGGTCCTCAGGCTAGGTGGCTGGTAATTAGGATCTTAACTGCTTCCCACAAACTGACCTCCACACTCTGGCTTTTGATTACCTTGCAAGCAGGCAGCATAAGCTTAGACTCATAGGTTAGCAACAGGAAGTGTGTAGGCTATGCGGAGGAATAGTAACAGGTGGAGTAAGCAGAGCATTGGGATCAATACAGAGGCTGTTGGGGAATTCAAGTCCTGCAGGCCTCAGGAGAGGTAGCTCTGGCGTCTGGTGAAGTCACTTCCAGTGATAGACATTAATGGATGAAGGTCATGGCCGAGGAGGAGATGGGTATGAGGTGAGCAAGTGAGTCACCACAGGGAGAGAGTCACAAGGAGAGAGACTCAAAGTCCTGCCCCTGAAATTCAGGGGCCCCGACCAAGCTGCCTCAAAGCTGCTTTCCCATAAAATACATGATTCACTATCGTAAAAGCTCTTCACAAATGTGAGGCACCAAACTGGGTTGGCAAGCAGTGTGAGGAGAAGGCATTTCCCATTCAATTAATGTTTATCTGACCTGCCTCATGTTCCCAGAGAAGGCCTCAGCTTGAGCTGTAAGGATAACATTCTCTGCCAGAGTGGGAGGGAATCACAGCCCAGGGTCCCTCCAGATGCTGCAGGACTGGAGATTGTGTTTGTGAGATGTACAAAATATAGATGGCAAAACAATCCAACCAGATGGGGGAATAATGAGCTTAATTGTCCTCTTCCCCCATGCCCTGGAGACCTAAGGAGGAAAGCAAATCAAGCCTATTCTCTTGGAATTTGAATAACAGATCAGGTAGTGCAGTTTGCTGTTTGTTGTTTGGTTTTATCTCCCTCCAGAAAGCATAGAAATCCCTGGGTGGGACAAAGGGCTATTGAGCTTGGCTGCTAACTGAAAGACAGGAGGTTTGAATCCACTCTGAGGCTCCTCAGAAGATAGGCCTGGTGATGAAGGTCCAAGAAACCAGCCACTGAAAGCCCTGTGGAGCACAGTTACTTTGACACCCATGGTGTCGTTATGAGTCATTTGACAGTAAGTGGTTTAACTGGTTCAAGAAAGCATAGCTTAAGGGGGAAAATTTCCAGTTTACATAGACTGTTGTGACCCTGTAATTAACACACAGAGAAGACAGGAGCAGAACCTTTGGATTGGGCTCTTCTCTGTTCCTGATGTAAACTGTTTCCCTGTGACGCCAGCCTTTAATGTGTCAATATCTTGGTTGTTCCCTCTTATACAAAATGGAGATGGGTTAGTGGTGGTTCAGTGGCAGAATTGTCACCTTCCATGTGGAGACCTGGTTCCATTCCCAGCCAATACACCACATGCTCAGCCACCATCTGTCACTGGAGGCTTATATGTTGCTGTGATGCCGAACAGGTTTCAGAGGGACTTCCAGACTAGGACTGACGAGAAAGAAAGGCCTGGTGCTCTACTTCCCAAAATCAGCCAGTGCAACCCGATGGATCACAACAGCCCGATCCCCAATCAGTCATGAGGATGGAGAAGTTCTGTTGTGCGTGGGGTCACCGTGAGTTGGGCTCTGACTCAATGGCAGCTAACAGCAACAACAAAATAGAGGGGCAGCTGAACATGCTGGCATGTGTGAGATTTGCTCTGACCTTGCGAGACAAGCACCAGCTCTGGGGAGGAGCCTTCACATTCTTTTTCCTAAAAACTGACATTGATAAGCATACACAAAGCATACAGCAACTCATGAATTTCTACATGTATAATTTAGTGACATTGATTACATTTTTTAAAAAACCTTTTTATTGTGTTTTGAGTGAAAGTTTACAGAGCAAATTGGTTTTCCATTCAACAATTCATACACATTTTGTTTTGTGACATTGCTTGCCATCCCCACAATGTAACAGCACTTTTCCCACTTCTTCCCTGTGTTTACTGTTTCCATTTGTCCTTCTTTCCTAACCCTTCCTGCGTTCCTTGGGTAAATGCTACCATTTTGATCTCATATGGTTGATTAAAATTACGTTTTTGAAATTGTGCAACCATGCTCACTATTCTTTTCCAAATTATCCCACAAACATTAACATACATTCAATGCAAAAAGCAAAAAACCCTTATTTCTTCCTATTGCCTCTGGTAACCACATATTAATTACTTCTGGTTTCTATATATTTGCTTATTTCATACAAGTGATATCATAGAGTATGTGTCCTTTTGCGAATGACTCATTCCACTCAGCATGATGTCCTCCCGGCTGTGGCATGCATCAAGACTTCATTCCTCTTTCTGGCTAATATTCCACTGCATATGTATAGACCATATTTTGTCTGTCCAGTCATTAGTTGATGGACATTTCTGTTGTTTCTACCTTTTGACAACTGTGAATAGTGCTGCCATGAACATTGGTGTACCTGTGTCTGTTCTCATTGCCGCTTTGTCTTTTGGCTATATACTGAAGAGTAGAATTACTGGGTGATAGCCACTCCTCAGAAAGAAGATTGGGCAATCTACTTCTGTAGTGATACTGCCTTGGAAACCCAAGGAGGGGTCACTATGAGTCGGATCCGACTCGACGGCAGTGCGTTGCATTGTGTTGTATGGTAGGTCTATGTTCAACTTTTTGAGAAACCGCTAAACTGTTCCAAAGTGGCTGGACCAACTTACATTCCCATCAGCAATGAATGAAGGTTCCTGTTATCCCATAGCCTCACCAACACTTTTTTTTTTTTTTTCCATTATTTTATTCATTGACATTCTACAGTAAATTTGATTATTAGAGAGCACCAGAGTGTTAATGTGAGCCCAGGCTGGTTAGAGGGCCCAGCCCCACCTGGTGAGGAAGGACAGAGTGGCCACTCAGAAGTGCGGGCTCCTGTGGAACATAGTGTGGAGGAATTGGGGGAAACCAATGTGTTAGTATGTTGGATGGAAAGTTCCAGATGGCTGCTTGGGGTGGAGATTTTGGATCCTGGGATTTCAGGTCATTTTCCTTAGGGCTCACATGAGGTTAATGAAATAGAGCACATGTCCCAGGAAGTGTAGGGGTTTGGAATTTTAGGAATAAGTGTTCAGAACTCTAATCATTTAATTAGATGTACTCAGAGAGCTTGAGTCAGACTGACGTGGTTCCACCCTGTGATAGCTGAGTGTCAGCTTGTTCAGGCCTGGTTTTGAGTGGCTGGGCAGCTGGATGTGGTTATTCCCAATCTACTGGAGCAGCTGAGTAGCTGCCTTA